TGTTAGGTGCCTCTACTTGCTAGTAATGGTTTCTTAGCTTAGGAGCAGTTGAAGTGATTCAGAGACTGTGGTTTGCACTAGTTTCCAATCAAGAGCGTTTCTAGGAGACAAACCATGCTAGCTGCCCTCTTTCCCTTCCACATGGGCAAATACAGAGAAAGACAGGATGGGGGATAAAATGCGGAGTAGGAGGCAGGAAGGAGTTGTGAGTCCTTATCTCCTAAATCTGCTCAAAGTTTGGTTGGGAGAGAAGAGGAGAAGAGTGTTGAGGGAGGTGGACAGGGCTGGATAGAAGAGGTGATGAAAATCAAATGGGAATGCCATGAGGATGAGGTCAAAGGGCTATCCAGTGTTGCTCTGCTTCTCGGGTAGTTGTATTCTGAAATCATTAAGTCTGCCCAGAGACCACAAGAAATAGAGATGGGTGTCCCTGAATTCTTTCTTCTACTTGTGACATAATTGGAGCTTGATGCTTTTATCATTCAGGAGTGATGTTTTGGGTGAATTGTTTTTTCTATTTGAGGATGGGAGGATACTACCTAATGTGTTGTAAGATTCAAAGGAAATAAAAATCCCCCGTCCTTGGAAGGCATTTTCTTACTATTGTCCTTTGGTGGCCCCTGCTCTCCTTTCCTCCTCCAAAGCCCCTCTTATGAGCAGTATAGACCAGGAGGCAGAGAGGATGCAGGACTCCATCTTGTTTATTGGCTGCAGCATTATTGCTGCCATGGGAATGAGCAGAGCCCTATTACCACAGCAGCCTATGATAAGACTGGAATTTTTCAAAAGAATTTTTACAAGGAAACAAAAAGTTAAAAAAATAAGAAAATGTGAAAGATAGGAGCTGAGAGATCTTTTGACTGGTTTCATTAACAAAGGAAAGAAAATGCTGTCCAGAGCTCATGTTTCCATCTTTGTTTCCTTTTTGAAGACTCCTAAGACCCGCCACTATACACACATTCCCATCCTCCCAATGGTTACAGAATCCAGTCTTAATGGTTTTACAAAATTCATACTGAAAATACAAGTACTGTCAAAGGAATTTTTCTCCAAAGAGAAGGGTCATTTGTTCACAGAGAAGATGGGTTTGGGGCCTAATAATACAGACTAAACCTTAAAGAAAATATGAATATACTCAATATTTAATCTCAAAGTATACATTATTTATGTTAACATTATATGCAAATAAAAGAATGAATTTGTGCAACTGCTAAAATGGTGGGCAGGCAGGCGGGGAGGAGAAGGGCGTGGGCAGGGCAGGGGCTGCCCTCAGCAAGCTCTGGACTCTAGTGGTCTCTTCAGGAGTCTCCATGGACGTTGGAAGGCTTATGGATTTGTGATCTCGGCCTCAGAGTGTCCTTCCAGGGCAATAGGTGAGGGGAGTGTGTCACAGAGCCTAAGTCCTCAGTGACTCCAGGGTGGCTAAGATACTCTGTGACTGATGAGGGTCAGGCAGCCTGAGGGAGGCTTCAGTGAAAGGCCATCTGGGGCTCAGTTGGCGTGAGCAAATGTGCTTCAAAAGAAACTTCTTGGGAGGGGAGAGGAGAAGGCTGGAGAATGAAGTACCTCTTGAAGTAGCCTGAGTGTGTCCTGGCTGGTGGCAGGAGTCCCTGGGGCCCCACTGGAAGGCCACAGGTCCCGTTGTTACAGCACTGTGGGTGCAAACTTCTAGGCCAAGACAATTTCTTGTCAAGTCACTGAGTCTTGGTGGAATGAGAGTCACGACGGTAGTTTGGGTAATTGACTAAAAAAATACATCATATTCCTAGATACAAGGTACCTTTTTAGGGAGGATAAGTAAGCAAGAGGACCCGTGTCTCTATTTCCTTGGAATGCTTGAGGAAGTGGACACTTTCCAAGACTTCTCATCCTCTCAATTTCTCTAGCCCACCAGAGTTTCCAACTCTTCCCTCCCATCCCCTGGTTCCTTCCTGATTATTGTGCAAGACAAAGTCAAGTGGCCAGCGAGGGAAGATGGTGATGAAAGAGAGAGCATCACTGAGGAATGATAGAGGAAATCTTCAAGTCCAGAACTGTAAATGGAACCACTGAGAACACAGCAACATCGACAGACTAGATAACACTTAATAAGGCAGGAGGGAGGGCAGGGGCATGGTGGCCCTCAGCAGGCTGGAGTCTAAGATGCTCATGTTTGCCTGCTGTAATGGGCCTGGTAGGCCTCTAGAGTTTGTTAGGAAAGTATTGGAAGGGCCCAGCAGGGAAAGCCAGCTGGTGGGGTGCTCTGAATGCCATGACTGGTCTTCCTGTGGATGGTAAGCAGGGAAACATCCAGCTAGGTAGAACAATGCAGTGGTAGGAAGTACTAGGGACCATCTCTTGGCTACACCTCCTGTGGGGCCACGCTGGGCCTGGGCACCTGAGGCTAAGGGGTTGGTAACTCTCCTGAATCCCCACTGCCATTTCCACTTCTAGGCTCTCCCAGCTCTTCTGAGGGGAAAAATGTCAAATAGGAGAGAGAGAGGGGTGGGAGCAGAAAATAGTAAGGCAAGAGGAGAGAGACAGAAGCATGGAAAGAAGTTAAAGCAGATCAAGAAAGATAGACAGTCTAGGAAAAGGCGACAACCAAGCGCTTGTGTTCCATCAAAAATAGTTCAGCTAATTCACAGAGCATGGTTAGAGTGTTTGTGGAGCCCTGCAAGCCTCAGGAAAAACTGTTTATTTACACTGTGCATTTCAGATAAATTCTCTCAGCTTGGAGAAGGCGTTCACTTTCACGGCAGCAGGCCTGAACCTGATCAAGATTCATTACTCCTGGTTTTTGGTCTGCCTGGGGAATGTGGAAGGGGCAGTGGAGCATTTGGAGGTAGAACCCCTGCCAGCTGTTTTCTTTGTCTCTCTTCTTGGGGTCTAACGACAAAGATAACACCTAGGTGCCCCAGAGAAGAGAGTTGTGAAAGAATGTTGAGTGTGGGAAGGACTAGGGTTAGGAGTGGAAGGAAGAGAAGGAAGAAAGCGAAGCGTTAGACCCCTCTGAGGAAGCCCTAATCAGACTCCAGCAGTGTAGGGGAGAAGTCCGGGACTGGAGAGGGAAAGACAAGGAAAGGGAGGTGAGAGGAGGAGACAGAGTTAGGTTCCCCTCATTCCACTTAAAACTCTTGGCATGAGGTTTCTCCACTGTGCCTTGATCCTGATAGAAACATCCAAATGCAATGTCTGGGGAAGTGCTTGACATAAGGACAAGGGAGTGGCTCCTGTTATAGTGTATTCCCTTTATCGCAGTTCTGAGAGAAGGCGGGCACAGCCGTCACTCCTTTACTAGCTCTTCCTGATCTCCTTGCCCCCATCCCAGCTTTGCTTTTCTCTTTCGCTCTCTCTTCAGATTAGTGGAGTCAGAAGAATCATGGATTTCAGCAAAACAAATGCAGGTGGTAGCAAAAGGCAGAGGTGGCTTTTGTGGAGAGAGAAGAGCTTTGGGGTGTGAATCTTCCAGTTCTACTTGAGTTTGTATCTAATTACTATATCAGTGAAAAATAATAAATATGCCAGTGGGTGGCTGAGAGGAAGAATGGTTAATGCCTTCCTTTGGCAGGCCAGAGTCTAAGGTGAGCATACTTGGACATGGGACGCCCTGGGTTAATTGCGTGAGATCATGGGTTAGGACCTTATGACAGATTGGGTGACATGGATGGGCCTTGGTCATTTCTCCAGAGATGGTACATGGAGAGTTTCTGATGAATGGGAAACGCCTCTTCTGAAAGGTGTAGATGCAGAAGTAAAGTCTCCAGATGAAGCATAACATGGCAGTGTGGCTCCTCCTGTGGCCTCAAGTCTGCTCTTGCCACTGGGTGGTGGTGGGTGCCCTCTCTTTCCTTGCCCACGCCTTTCATAGCTTCCCAAGGTCAGTTTCCATCCTGGGGTGGGGGGGTGGTGGTGGGGGGAGAATCAGAGGAGCTGAAGGAGAGACACAGAGAAAACCAGACAATGACCGAAAGGCAGAGAACCAGAAAAGACTACACCTACCCAGTTGTCAAATCCTTGAAGTCACCCCTCCTATACCAGTCGCCCCTCAAAAAGATTCTAATGATTCAAAGTTATATTTACCAGCTCTTCAGAGCCTTTTAAAGGTGTAAAGGGAAAAAAACAAAAACAAAACAACAACTGAAACTATACTAAGCCACTTTAGCTAAACTTTCCAAGCTTGCAAGAGGTATTATCTTGGTGAAAATCTATGACTCATCTCATTAATTACCTGTGGGACTTGGGTTTGTGTGTAAGAAGAGGAATAGGAAATGGAGAGAATTTTAGAGTCAGAGCCAGGTGGAAGACAGCTTCTTCTCTTGTTTCCTTGAGCTCCCAGAAGGCAGACAACAGACTCTCTTTATCTCTGTATCCTGAATCTCTAGTATACTGTAAGAGCTCAGTATATTGGTGTTCATTGAGTTGAATTAAGTCATTTGTTGAATTTCCATGTGGGTAAATACACAAAGTTAGCTCCCGCAGTGGAACAAGGGACCATAAAGGTAGAGGGTGGAGCATGAGATGGAGATGAGATTTCCTTTGGAAATCCAAAGGAGAGAAGCTGAATATATCCCAAATAACCAATATGATATCGAATGGATAGAATGGATATGGGAAAGGGAGAGGGTAAAAGGAAGTGGAAGAGAGAAGTGAAGGGCGTAGAGATGAGGTCACCTAGTGCATGAACTGTATCACCTTTGAACCTGTGCATACTTCTTCCTCAGAAGGCCCTTAATTCTTGAGTCTTTCCTTTAGGTTGTAGTTCTGGCAAGTAGGATCCCTGACCCCACGTTAGAGAACACAGCAGAGTCAGAGACTACCATTCCTTAGGACTCAGGAGGGAGAGAGAGAGGATGACTCTCCAGGTGGGATGCGAGTTGAGTGCCAAAACTCTAAAGCCATGAGGGGGTATAATGGTAGGCCTTAAAATAGGGCTGCAACATAGAGATGTTATCTAAATGAAAGATAACTAGTACTCATGGTCAACAGATGAGATTTGCCATCTGTTAAAATCTCTTCAGATTGACTTCTTTGCTCTGATCTGATTTGTTACATGTTGTAAATGTCATTAAGAGGCCTCCCAAGTTCATTAGGAACCGAAAAGTCTCAATGTTACTCCACAGCAATCTGTTGCAGGGGAGGAAGACAAATGTACCCTCTGGGTCCTGGCTCGGGTATGAATTAAATTGACATGAGACAGAATAACAGGAGAAAATCAAACAAAGCTTTATAACATGTATACATGGGAGAGACCCAGGAAAAACTGGGTAACTCAACAAAATGGTGGAGGCTCTCATCTTAAATACCATCTTCAGCTAAAGACAAAGGAGGATGTTGGGGGTAGTGGTTTGGGACATCAAAGGAGAGGAAGGCAATTCACATGGAAATGGAAAAGCAAATGTTTAGTAAACAGAACTTTGATAAGAATGGGCTTAGCAAGGACCCTCCCAGTCTATTGATATCCAGAGTTATCTATGGCGATGGCCTGTCCTGGGAACAGGTCTTTTATCTTAAATTTCTTTTAGGCAGTTAGTAGGGGGGAGATCAAAGTTTCTTTCAGAGTCTTTTGTTCTTGAAAATAATCAAGATGAAGAGACATATTTTGAGATGGCCAATTCTGATTGCCCACACTGTCATCTGGGAAATGTAGTGTGTTGCTGTGAGGCAGTATAGTCATGCCTGCAGAAAAAGGGGGGTTGGCTAGAAGACCCCTGACCTGACTCCTGGAGAAAAGGGGACTAGGAGCCTGGAATGAAGGTCCCAGATCTTGGAAACGTGTGCTGTGTTGGTGAGTACCTCAAAGGTCTTCTCTCCTAGTGGTTCCCAGACTTGGATTCACAAATAGTAAAATTTCCCCCCAAACTTTGGGAGGCTAACCATTTTTTAGGTCAGAATATTAAAAATCTAAACACGATCTACAATCACAATCATTTTACAAAAGAAAGGATCTTTTGACTCCACAAAAGTAGGAAGGATATAATCTCAGAACAAATAATGTTCTTATGATTCATTTTTGGGAGTAGACTGGCTAACACTGGTATTGAGGAATCTTGATCCAACCTACTTCTCTGTGGCATTGCCTTGCTTTGACAATGGGGTAGGCTGACTTCAATAGCTTATACCTGCAGAAAAAGCAGACTCCTGGAGGCTGGGCAGCTGATAGAGATGCCAGCAGCAGCCGCTGTTGCTCTAATCACACCGGACTAGTTAGTCCTGATTTCCTGAGTATGCTGGAGAGTTTCATGTCTCAGCGTTGTTTTTCATACTCTTTCATCAGCAGGGAATGCAATGCCTTCCTCTCCTTCACATTTTCCAAGTGGCAGAATCCTACTCATCCTTCAAAAGCTAGCTTAAGTGCCATGTTCTCTGAAATCTATCCTGAGAACCTTCCCCACTGCCACATCAGGAAAGAATTTTTGATTACTTCTCTGTATTTCATTTGCACGGTGTATTCTAATTTTTCACTCCTGTGCTCTATTAGTGGCATGAAGAGTATGATAGGGTGAGGACTTTCTTGCTAGTTTGGGGGCTTTTTGGGGAGAAGGACTGTTTATTTTTTGTATCCTCAGTGCCTGATATATAGGAGGTGACTTAAAGTCCAAGTCATCAGGAGCTGATGGCAGGGAGTTTTGTTAGTTGCTCTAAAATTGTTTGCCAGGCCTGGTCTCAGGTCTCTTGGTAGCAGATAACAGGTGTTGCTCAAGGATAGCAGCTGCTTGATGCCTTGGGGTTTGGCAGGCTTACCCTTGGAGACCTACCTATAGAGACTGGGGTTCTGAGACAAGACTCCAGTTTAAAGACTAGTGGACAGAATGAAGAGCAAGATACCAGCTAGCTCTTGAGGACCAAGGAGCAAAACAATGGCTTCATCTGTTGAAACCAGTCTGAGGAAATGACCTGTTCATCAAGAATAGTGCCAAAGTCCCAGATACGAGAACCTGAGTTCCTGGATCAGAGCAGGATCACCAGCAATTTGACTTGGTCCAACTCCACCAGATGGTTCTTAATGGTTTTGTTACAAAGCTGGCCCCTTGGGTCTCTGAGTTGCTGATAGGGGACTAGTGTGCTTCCTGGAAGGGAGCAGGTCATAGCAGATAGCCATTCAACATGTCTCTAAAAGTCTTATGTTGGAGAGCTCTCAGCTTCACGGGGTAGTTTATTTTACTGCATGATAGCTGTGATTATTTTTAAAAGTTATTTTTATTGAACTGAAATCTGCCTTCCTCATAACTAGGACCAGTTGGTTCTAGTTCAGCCTTCAGTACCCTGTAAAAGTCCAAAATCTCTCGTCCACATAAATATATGAAGCAAGTAAGCAACTGTTCCCACTAATAATTATAAACCTTTTTGGCTCCTTCAATCATCCTTTCCCCTCCCTCCAGCTCCTCAACCATTCTTCAGACAATGTTTTTAATCCTTTCACCATTCTGTTCACTGTTCTCTGGACTTGCTATAGGTCATTTATGTCCCTCTTAAGTGCAGCACTGCGGTGGTACACAGCTGGGCACAGAGTGTATAGTTCAATCATTGCCTGGATATTATACTTCAATTAATGCAGCCTGAGGAGGCTGCAGACAATACTAACCCTGATTTGTTATTTTACCATTTTTCTTGAAATTTGAATGGCTGTTAAGCCAGGTTCTCCATTTTACACTCAGTGCAACTGACTTCTTTCAAGTGCAGGATTTACCGACTATCCTTAGTAAATTTCATCTTTTTAGATGAATGTCCTATCTGTCCTATAGTTCTCAATCTTAATTCAGTCAGGCAATTCTGGCTCTACTTCTCCATTTTGTGATATTAGTATATATTAAGGGACACTACTTTTATGTCTTTGTTTCCATAATTTTCAAAAATGTTGAGGGGGATGGGGCCGCACAGAGTACGTCTGTGGTTTCTCACGCAGTGATAGGGTCACTTAGTCGTCTTCTCATCCTGTACCTGTATCTCTGCCTGGTTGATGCAGATATTATGAGACGCTTTTTCAAATACTTTACCGGTCAAGGTTTACAATGTGTCTATTGTTTCCTCTAGTTCTTAGTCGTAGTCAACCCTATCAAACCAGGAAATTTGATTAGTGTGGCATGACTTGTTATCAGTGAACCTATGATGGATAGTTTTATCCTGGCAGATTAGAGGAGGAGAACACCAAGCTAAATATATTTTTGATGCTAATATCCTTTGAGTAAGACAATAGTTTCCTTTTCCTGATTCTGTGTTTGCCAAGCAATATCCTATTCTGATCCCTTCATTGTACTGCCTTTCTGAGAAGGACGTGGCTTATGTAGAGACCTTGGGTTGGCAAATTGCTTATTGCAGAGGAATTAAGCAGCAGTTAAGCTTTAAAATCTGTTTCTTAGGAACTTGGTGAGTCTGACTCTGATCGCTGGAGCCAGACTGCAGCCTGAATCAAGTTTGTAGTTCATATTCTGCAAATCCTGGGATGCAATGACTCCACCAAAGGGTGGCTGTCCAGGGAGGTTCAGCCTAAGACAGCCAGCTAGAATTTAGGTGAGAGAAATCACTTGTAGGTTGTATGGTAGGGAGTAGGGAAAGCTACCTGGAGGGGTGAGAAAAGAGAAGTCTGTTGTCCATTGCTGTCCTTTATTATTTATTCTTTTCCCTCCTAGATTCCCGGGTAGGGATATAAAGAGGAAGTCCCCCACGCCCCCAAATCTGGGCGTAGTAAATTCCCTAACTTGCTCTGCCACAGGCAGAAGGTATATGAAAGCCTTGAGGCTTTTAATTGAGGTTCCCACAGGTTTGTAGAGTCCAGTAAGAGTGTTTTCTATTCATGATGCCTCTCACTAGTTGTTTAGGTACGCTGATAATAGGTAACATCCATGAATTTATTTTTGAACTTCAACCTCAGTCATTCCTGCAGCTCCCTACTGCTGCATGGTTCCAAGGTCTTAGCAGACCAAGGCATTGTGTCTCATCAGTCACAAGTCTGTCCGGGTTAGGACCAGTGGCTTTTCTTCCATTTTGTGCTTGGGGAGGAAGGGGAATATGATCTTTTGTTCCTTTTTTGGCTTTTGCCACTTTCCTAGTGTCCTGCTAGGGAGCAGGGTCTGGTCCCTATCTGCCTGAGGGAACATTAGACCTTGCCCCCTTCTTACACTTGGGAAATCTTCCTTACTTCCCTGCTTCTCACAGGCACCCTTCTCTTCTACCTCTGACAGGATCCGCTGAGTGGATTTGGCTTTCCCCAAAACCAAGGAGTTCATTTTAGATTGCTTCAGCTTTCTGCCATGACTGTGTCCCTGAAGCAAGGATTTAAAGCCCTAAGGTTACCAGGTTGAAATTGGAGGGAGAGGGAGAAATACAAAAATCCACAATACAAAATGAATATGCATCTAATAGAAATCCTGGTACAAGTGTGTTCCTAATGCTGTGGTTTCTTCCCCTGCCTTCCTACTTTTCTTCTCTGCTCTTCTGTTCCCTGATACACACTTACTCAGTCCTTCTACTCTCCCCATTCTTGATTTAGCACTGCTTTGTCTTTCTGGCTAACAAATCCAAGATGGCTACAAGAGAGAAAATGCCACTTATCAGCACCCCACTTCCTTTCTGTTGTTGGCCCAATGTTTATCTCACTTCTACCATGATGAGATGCTAAGAGTCTGAGAACCTCAGAAAGCCCCAGCCCTACCCGTGTACATAATCTAGTCCAAGCTTTTCCTGTAACCTGTTTGGCCAGAGGCAGTGTTAGTGTGCAAAGTTGGGTTGTTTCTTTAGACCTTTAGGGTTCCTTGGGTTGTGATGACTGGGGTGGCTTCTGTGGGAGCTCGGGGGCAGAGGATCAGGAGAGGCAGGGTGAAGGAGATGGCTGAAGGGTGACAGTCCCTAAACTGTATCAGAAGTACATCCACAACCCATTATGCAAACTCTTCCCCACGCTGTTACTATTATTAAGAAAATTCAGTAGTGACTCCCTCGATCGAATCTCATTGAACCACAAGAACTTCTCCTTTGAGACTACCATTTATCTTCAGAGTTTTTCCTGTCATTTTTCTAACAGGATTTTCCTTGCACATTTGTGTTGAGAGTTAGCAGGGAAACACCAAGTGTGATCCCCTTCTCTCTGTACTCTCAACAGACTGTTTTGCTGGGGACACTAAATGC